GATACTTCTGTTTACTTTTACCACCAATTATATGTTTATTTTTATATTTATATATAAAAATCACTTGTTAGTCTCGCAAAAACTTAAAAATGGCTGGACTAATTTTGATGCAATGTTTTGTGTGTGTTTGATTTGGATGATTTAGATTTACAATCGGACACCTGGCAGGTGGCACTGTTGTCGAGATCATCCGCGTGAAGCTGGGCCGGATCGCTAGTCTTTAAATAAATTATTTAACAAATAAATTGATCTTGCAATCGTAGTAAATTGTCACTATAATACAACAGATGCTTATAGGTAATTGAACTGACAATTTTATATGCAAAATTTCACAATAATTCTAGAATATAATACGTTTTATTCAGTGTATTGTGTGAGATATGTAATTTTTTTTAGTTTAGTTTAAATTTTTAGCCTAAAAACTTGGGATTACGTCGTAAAACGCAAAACTAATTTTGGTTCCTGAGCCCAACCAAAATTTCATAATAATTCTTGTTCAGTAATAAGAGGAGGCCTATGCCCCGTCGTATAGTATCCAATTTTTAATGAAACTGTTGTCCACTTCTTAATTTAATAAGCTACTCGTAGCATTTATATTTTCGAAACTATTCAGATATCTGTGACCAACCTGCTCACATAAATAACGCAAACGAATAGGTTTTAGTAAATATTATAAATATTAAAGACATAAAATTTAGTTTAAAGACAAAATTTGGTTTTTTATTTTATTTTAGAGATAAGTGCAATTATAAACATTCATAGAATCTTGCCGTCACTTATCAGATGAATGGAACCGACTCAAACCAACCTAAACGAAAAATAATGAAAATAGCGTATATTTATGGTGGCAATACATAGAAAAGAGAAAAAATAACTATACGTAGTAGATTCATCCTCTCACCGGGGAAGGACTACGCACTTAATGCTCTTACAGAATACCAGCGGGAAATAGCAGCTTAATGCTGCTATGTTTCGTATGGTAAGTGTAGAAAACTGGAAGCCCTATTTACAGGAAACCAGACATTTATCACGACATCTTAGAAATTACGGGTGACAACGTATTCACATTTTTATTATTAACTAACTAACATAGCATTGAAAAGGTACAAAAAAGTTCTTGCGTCACGTTAATTATAAATATCAGCGTAAGAGTTTATCGTATGTGCTCCTTTTAACAAAATATCAACTCTTAGACTTAAGGTCTAGACGCACTCAACTTGAGGCAAGATTACTTTATGATCTGTGCAATAACAAGTATGATTGCACAGATATAATTAATCGTATTAGTTACTCCGTACCACCTCTTGCGTTCTTTGCGTCCTCACTCACTTTTTGCTGTGTCAAGATCTTGGACAAACGCCGGTATCTGATCGCCTCTTCATCGTATGGTTGACACATACAACAAAAAATTTAATTCGGTAGATTTATTTTCTTGCAGTACCAAATTATACAATAGACAGATAGTTAACTTAACTAACATAATTAACTTTCTGTTAAACACTTAATGTCTCTTTTAAAGTCTTGAACACATTAACTACTAACACTAACTATAAATTATCTAACCAATGACTATATATGTACATGCACAGACACACAAATACGCGCGCGCACACACATCCTAACTCACAAACATACAAAACTTTAACCTCTAATACATGTTAAACAATATTTTAGAAATTAAGGTACTTTATTTTTACAAAAATTAGGTCCCTCACATAATTATTATATGTTTTATACTCTATATGTGACCATCTTCGTTGATTTTATGATAAGTAATAAATTGTAATAGAACATAAGCTTTAGCATAAGATATATTGTAAACTTGTTTGTGTTTCCTAAATAAATTTAAAAAAAAGACTAAGAATACATATAGAAGTCTATACAATAGAAGTTATTTTGATTAACTGTTGATTTTTTTCACTTTATTAAATAATTAATTAACTATTTAAAACATAATATATATATAATAGTGGTTTTAAATATGTTGTGTACAACATAATTTACAAGTGATAGAATTCTAACAACACAATTACAGTAGGCTAATAGATAATAGGGTAGCAGGAGCGACACTAAAGAGTCTTGAGTTCTATTGTGCCACTCGAATACTGTCGTAAGTCGCACCTCGCTTAAACATTTTCAAGCTATTCGTACGTCTTACTAGTTAATACTAAGCAGTGTCCGACTGAAACAGGATTTTAAACCGAAACCGAAAACCGAAAACGAACCTTCGGTCTGGGTGTCAGTTTCGGCCGAAATAGAAACCGAAATCGAAACTTATTTAAACATGTTAATTTTTTTCTTGTATACTGAAATCTGGTATATTTTTTACACATATACAGATAGGTAATTCATGTTAACGAAAAACAGTAATTGTAATAGTTATGTAGCAATATATTTATTTATTTAAAATTAAAAATCAAAAATTTAACGTTAAGAAATACTTTTTTAAGTCAATTTTGTAAAAAACTCAACCATAAAAAGTTACTCACTAATTGAGAAAATATTTTATTGTGTTCACAATATTGTTAATATTATTCAATGAGAGCATTAACTTAATATATCACACTCACACACTTACACACAATATACTTAACAAAATCCCAGAAAATATACAAAATCTGCCAAAAACTTTAATAATCTAAGTTTGTATAAAAAGGGTTATTATAATATTAAGGAATTTATGGCTGATGATAAACTCTGGTAATGAGGTGATAACTACCAAGTTATTTCTAATTTGTTTTGTGTTGTTAATTGTGTTACATACATGATTGTGTGTAGTGGCGTAGCTAGGCGTGGGCGAAGTGGGCCCTCGCCCACGGCCTCGCCCTTAAAGGAGCCTCGCGAGGCCCTCTAAAATGCGATGCCCCCAGACTTTACTACAGATAACTAATTAATTTGATCACTTTTACGCTCGAAAAAGAAAGTCAAATTTTAAGTGTGATTGTTTGGGGCCTCGCAAGAAGCCGCTCTTAAGTGCGACTGCGAGGCAGTTGTAACTACCTTCAAAGACCACGAGCGATACATTGACGGAAAACGAGACTTGTCAGGAATAAATAGATACGAGTAGGTATATCGTGTCAAATCATGTTTGGTAGGGTAGATCTATCGGGTAGATACATGGAACGAAATAATTTTAAATTAAAAATTTGTACAGGGGACTTCAATATAAGTTATTAAGAATAACTCAAAAACTATTAGTCTGAACTTGATTTGGAACCACACGAGAAGAACCAGCTTTCAAATAAAAAAAGAATCATCGAAATCGGTTCACCCAGTAAAAAGTTAAGAGGTAACACACATTAAAAAAAACACATACAATCGAATTGAGTACCATCTCCTTTTTGGAAGTCGGCAGATAAAAGGGTCTTGCTGATGCAACTTCGCCCATGTTTATAATAGTCCACGCTACGCCTGTGATTGTAAGCTGTTATTTCAAAAAAGTCCCGTTGCATTTCTTGCTGGTTCTTTCAAGGACAGAGGTTTTTTTCGAAGCAGTGGTAATTAAACAAAAGAGTGACTTTCAATAAATATTATTTATTATCTATATTGAATAAAAAAGTTTCTGTTCCTGTTTCTGTATAATTATGAATAATACACGAGTCACGAACTCATCTGAACGACGCACAATAATCCACGAACACTGAGTTTCGGCGCCGCAGAAGGTTTTGTAGATTTTTTGCCGAAACCGAAACTATTACCGAAACTATTTATTTTTTGCCGAAACTTGTCGAAAAGGAAACCGAAACCGAATCTTCGGTCGGTCACTAATACTAAGCACTGTAATATTCATATTACGAAAACTATAAAAGTTTACTTTTTTTATTATTATAGGTCAGTGCTTGACTACCATCCCACAAGACGGTAAGTAGTGAAGTAGTCTTAGACGAAGCGCTCTGATTTGTTGCTACCGCAAAAGAAACAATCGTGGAACAATCGTTTTAAGTTTGGAAAAATTATATTCTTTAATTATGAATAATAATACATAGGTATAACGAATGTCGTTGCCTATAATCAGCAATAAGTTGACAAAGTTTTACTGCAATCTGATGAACGGTGTGGCATCGCATAAATTGCAAACAAACAAACATTATTTTTTATATATTGTATTAAAATAATAGTTTTTAGAAAGGAACTTATACAAAATTAAAATAGAACAAAAGCGACAATTTTCTCATTTTTTTTTTGTAGATAGGGCTTCTTCTCTCTATATGGGCAAGTACCTCCCACCTTTCTGCCACCCAGCAACATTGTACCCCTTCTTCTATTCGGTGTAGAAGGGTAAGAAAGCCTGTGTAATTATAAATTATTAGGCAATCCACCTTATTTATAACATCTTTGTTCAAAATTGGTTGCAAAGTCCATAGGCATAGGCTACACATCAACTGTTAACTCGTTTTACACTCATATATAATAAAACGTTACACTTTTTTTCAGCGAATGAATTATTGAATAAAATATCTTTATTGTTCAGAGATAGTCGATGGAAATTGACAACATTATGAGATCTTTAGCCTGTTTTTTCTTTTTAGAGGAACTAAAGGCTGCTTTGGTTGACTTTGTAATGCCTGTTTTGATAACATAATATATTAATATTTATATGAAGGATATGCATAATATTTATTTTAATCATACATTATATTAAGGCGCAATATTTTAAGCTAAGCTAATAAACCGCTGTGCGATTTCAATGCGTTATAGTACTAAAATAGCTTTTGCCGTATAGATATGTAATAATATACAACCATATACCAATATAGAAAAGTCCAAATTTGTTAAAGATTCAAATGATTGCTAAGTAGTTTACTAGTTTTTAGCTATGGTAGTTTTTAGTTTCAAACGAAAGTAGGTACCGTGTTATAGTATTCATGCATTTTATTATTCATTTATTCCGCTTTAACTAATTTTAAAGCAAATTAAATTATTTCATGTTAAGGTCATCATTATTTACCACATATAAATTACGCTTGCGACTCTAGGAATAAATAAAATTATTATTACAGGTATTCGTGAGGCATCACGTACCGATGCGTTGGATGAAAGCAGTCGGATGGATACTACCTACAGTGATCACCGCAATCTACTCAATTACACGCTGCAGCATACCTGGAGAAACTGAAAGGTATGGACAGTTTTGAAAAAATCGCAGTTAATTCCCGTATTATCAACTACACTTAATTCATTTTAATTTGCAATTATAATATAGTGTATATATAGTATAAAAACTTAAACAGTGTCAAATAAGAACTACAAATAACTCACTACAAACACGTACTTCTTATTCCCATGAACTCGACGAGACATACGCGTATACTGCTGTTATTCTGCTTGTCTTTTTATCAACGCGAATTTGTTTCGACGCAAATGTATTCCTTATTTTATGAACGTGTATCTTTGCGAATGTATTTTTCTTCTTGTATTTGCTGGCGACTCAATCAAAATGCTATTTCAGTTACTCTTACAACCGTCATTAATAATCTAAGAAAATTTAATTGAAGCGTTGCAAAATTTAGAAGTTTACTATTTTAAGATTTTTTTTTTCCCTTAAAAACTTCTAATATTTTCTGCCGACTTCCAAAAAGGAGACGGTACTCAATTCGACTGTATGTTGTTTTTTGTTTTTTCTTTTATGGGTGTTACCTCATAACTTTTTACTGGGTGAAGCGATTTCGATGATTCTTTTTTTTACATGAAAGCTGATACTTCTCGTGTTGTCCCATATGAATTTAATCAAGGTCAGAGCAATAGTTTTTGAGTTATTCTTAATAACTTATGTTCACGCCCTTAGCTGCCCCAGCAATGGTCGAATGGGCTAGAGCCCATAGTAGCCTCCTCGACGAGCAACTGAGGACGGGGCCCAATGGCCTATGCATAAATGTTCAAAAACGGCTGACAAATAAGCAAGCACTTATCGATCTCCGGAGGTAGGGTTGACCACAGGGTACCAGTCAGGTGATAAGTGAGGTGTATGTAAAGTGGTGTGCGAAAGTGTATATACATGTAAACTGACGGTCCGATGTAGTCGGAGAGAACATCCACAAGCGCTGCTGTTCTCCAAATGTGCGCTCCCTCTAGTCGTAGTTCACTAATTGAAAACTACTGCTTTCTTTTAACTATTTCAGTTTATCAACTTTATTGTACATTTAATTAACTTCAAAGTCAACCAACTCAGCGTTCATCAAAATTAAAACAAGTGACACACAACACAAGTAACAAACAGTCGTTCAAAGTTCAATATTCAATTTTCCGAGCTCACGTAGCACAAATTTACAAACACGGGAACGAACGCAGCCTCTTCTCGAGTCTCAAAGTTCAGCGTTCCACACGAAAAGCTAAAATTCTTTCGTACGATATTAAAATACCACGCCCGCAATCAAAACTCAAAATCAGCCCCGTTGACACGTAAAACGATCGAAAATAGTCAACACACAAAAAAGGCACTTAACGCGACGTTACAATTCAACATTAACTTCCAAAAACAATTAACCGGGCCACGCCCTCAAAATGGAATGCGAGCATCAAATTCAAGGCCGTCTGTCCACTCGGCGTGCGCGCACGGTTCCGCGTCACACAAGTAAATTAAATATTGCAAAATGCACTTCAACATGCAATCACTATACAAATTGACGTAAATTACTTGAAAACTAAGTTACTTTAATCACTCAAATTCAAAAACAAACGCCTCGTCGTTATGTAAACGTAAATTAACCCAAATTTTCAACGCAACCTACTAACGGTCGCAAACAATACTCTAGTCGACCGTGCCGCGGCGTTCAATACACTGTCAGTCCACCGGCCGGAATCAACCAACTGGTTCGCACACGCGTCCGGCGCTCGCGCCCTCTGCCGAGCGACCCGCACGAGAGAGGGGCCGACGGTGACCTCTAAATTCCATCGGAAGGACGCGCGTGTTGAATGCAAATTTCAAATGCCACTTTTAGCCTAAACAACTTATATTGAAGTCGCCTGTAATAAATTTTCTTTTTTTTTCTTTTAGGTGCTGGATGAACGAGAGCATCACGTTTTGCTTCATCGCGGTACCCGTGATAATTTCACTTGGGGCAACATTTGGTAAGATATATTCACATATTAATAAAAAAATTAAAGTGAGTGATTTAAGCATTAAAAAAACTGTGTTTGACATTTTTCAGTATGTTTAATTAAAGCTTTGAGAATTTTATGCATGACGTTGTATGAGGTGCCGAACCAGCGTCTTTCTCAGTATTTGAGAAGAGCTGCTCGAGCTGCTCTTATTTTGGTGAGTATCCCACCTCTTTATGTTAGTATGTAGTCGATTAGTGTAAAAAAAATTTAAAACATTAATTTTACCTATCATATGTAATAATATGATATTTGCCCGTGAATCAATAGAATTAAATAAAATGGAAACTGTACACGCACCTAGTTGCCCAGACTAAGATCTACCATACAGGAGCCCATACAGCTGTTGGATCCGACGGACAACGAAGTGTGGGGCTCAAATGCCTATGGATATTTAATATATATGGACTAGGTACATAATACGACTTACCTGATGCTGAGGCGAAGACTGTCCCAAGGATCGGTCAGGCTGTAGGTGTGTAGGTGCATGTAAAGTAGTGTTTCGTGGTGTGTATTATGGTTGACCTAACTGGACCGTTGAAGTCGGCAGCAACCCTGACTCCGGCACCGCCCCCCGGTATGGTATTCTCCAGCGGCGGCACAAATGGACAATTTCTTTCTTCATTTCACTATGTCAGTCTATCAACTTTATTGTACATTTAAATAACTTCAAAACGCAACTAAATCCCGTTAATTATAATCAAAACGTAACACGCGGCACGACTGATGAACGGGGGTTAAAGTAAACTTCCGTTCACTCTGCAACAAATTATTTTGAGAACCGAACAAGACCCTTTTAGACACTTAACGCGACGGTACAATTAAACATTAACTTCCCAACAATTAGTCAACCCGGCGTCTAATGTTCTAGACTACAAAATTCCTCGTCGTTGCATAAATTTGCTTACAAAATCGACACGATCAGAGGTAACCACGCGGCTCGAGTAGACTCACAGCAAATCTTATACAACCGAATCCGAGACGGTCTTCATGAAACACAATTTAAGTAGCGACGTACCGCGCACAAATACTGAAAATCTAGACTTGGTAAAACCAAAACTGGTCGCACGAAATCGCTGCCACGGTCACCACAAAAATTACGTTGCGACGGCGTCGCTGCACTAAAGCTACCGTTTTCAGCCCGCGCGTTGAGCGACTGCAAGCAGCACGCGACCACCCCCCTCCTCTTTGGCGGCGTTTACCTCACCTCACACCATCGGGTGAGATACTAAGTCGTACGTGGTTGGATGCCTCTTCAATGCCTATATTTGGGCCTAAACAAATACATTAAAATAATTGATTATCCGTTTTATTTTTTAGGGCGTCGGAAATAATCAGGGTGTTTATGCCCAAATTTGGTCATTTTTGAACGCCATCCAATTGCGTTCGAGCTGGCGCGTCACCCGATGGTATGTAGGTGAAAAAAACGCCGCCAGGTGGGGCGGCGGTGTGCGGCTCGTGTAGCTCGACGCGTGGGCGAGGATGAGCGAGTTGCCCACTGGCCGCGAAGCGGGAACCCGCGTAGCTGGTTTAGCGCGGCCGAGGTTCACGCGACCGTTGTAGGGTCCAGATAGTTAGATTGAGTGCGTGTTACTTCCTTACGTGGATATGTGAATTTTGCAATGTTTAACTTGTACGGGGATGCGGAACGGAGGATGCGCACGCACGCGTCGAGTAGATATACGGTCTAGGATTCGAACCACGCATTCCTTGGCCGAGAGCGTCTCCCGGTTAATTATTTGGAAATCATATAATATAATTGTGCCGTCGCGTTAAGTGCCCTTTTTTGTGTGTTGATTGGTTTGTTAGTTTACGTGTAAACGAGGCGTATTTTGAATTATTTTCGCGACGAGGTGTTTTGGTGTCGAATGAAGGAACTTAGTTGTGTTTAACGCTGAACCGTATGACTCATTAAGAGATCGCGTTAGTTCCCTATTTATAATTTTGTGATAAGTGAATCCGGGACATTGAATGTCGAATTTTGAACTACTATCCTTACTGTGTCGGGTATCACATGTTTGATACTACGATGAATGTAGAATTACGCGAGTTTAAGTTAGTTAAATGTACAATGAAGCTAATATACTGAAATAGTGACAATGAAGAAAAAAATGGTCCAGCGGTGAAGCCTGCTGGAGCGATGCAGCATTGTGGGGCAGCCTGGAACTCGGCCGTTGCTGGTCGCCTAAGCTAGTCCAGGTCTCAGACATTTACACATTACTAAACACTACTTGCAATGCACCTCACATCCACTTACGGCCTGACCTAGCCTTGGGGCGATCTAAGAGTCGGAAACAGGTACTTACTATATTTCCCTAGCCTTCTCCCATATAGCTTAGTATTATAGGAAATTCCTCCATATGGCCATTGGGCCCGACCTGCGTCTGCCCCTCCAGGAAGCTGCTATGGGCCCCAGCCAAGACGAGCTTTGCAGGGGCAGCTGTAGGCCGTAACACAGGGAGAATATTATAATCAACCCGTAGACTGATGACGAAGAAGATAATGAATCTGAAAGAAGCGAAAGAGGTATGTAAGGATCGTGACACTTGGCGATCTGTTCTCTCTGGCTACCCCGTCAGGGATTGTGCGTGAAGATAAGTAAGTAAGTAATAGACTGATGACAGGATCTGAATCTTAAATAGTCAGACTCTTAAATATATGGTATAAACAGTCTAGTGTAACTCCATATACTTTATAACCGACGAAAATATGTAACAATTCAAATAATTTTAATTGATAAATTGATTACCAGTACTCGCTGGTAAATAACTCTATCAATAAGAATGACGAAAAAGAAGAGGACCGGACCTTTTTCATCTTTAACATGACTTTTACATGAGCATTACAGTACAATGCTAATGTTGGACATAAGACTGCACGAATATTCTGGCACGAACTTGGAACGTATGTTTTTACTCAAGATATTTGAACAAACATTTAGAAGCGGGACAGATATTTGTAGGTCATACAAATACTCATGTTTTTTATAGGATAGGGTAACAAACGAGCACACAGTCCACCTGATGGTAAGTGGTTGCTGTGGCCCATAGACATCTACATTTATCCTCGTTTGCGAACCAAAATGCAGATGCGTTGACACCCGTGAGGTCTAAGATGGAATGCCTCTTTTCCAGTAAAAAGGGTCCCGGAGACTTCTCTACACTCACCATACGAAACACAGCAGTGTTAAGCTGCTATTTGATGCTGGTATTCTGTGAGGGCGTGGTCCTTCCCCGGTCGAGCCGACCCATTCGTGCTACAACAAAACTACTAATATAGCTGCAGCATGGCTCTACCACGTACATGCGACAGGATACACTTATGCGAACAGGATTCGAACATGCTTATTCGCTACGCCGCTGCCACTGTGCTTACACATCTATTAACTTATATAACTAATAATTTTTTAATTTACAGATACCGCTGTTTGGCATCCACTTCATGCTGGTTCCATGGCGACCAAAATTTCACCCTGTAGCTGAAAAAACTTATGAAATATTAAAAGCTACAATTACAAATTTTCAGGTAACGTAATAAAGCAATTTTTTTAAATATCCCTTTTTTCAGAGCGATTTTATTTCTCAGATAAATATATTTCTTCATAATGCGCTGATTACATGATAAATACTGATTTATCACGTGGTCAGCGCTTTTTGAGGGAAAAAAGTACTGACTTGAAATCGCTGTTAACAATTTCATTGGTGGCGACGGGGATCGAGTTCAGGTTGCTTGTCTACTATGCAATTATGGCGAGCATTCAACCTCTGAGCTACCCTAGCTCAGGTCGGACACAGACACGTGAAGTCTACTAACTCACCATTATAGAGCTGGCTCATCAATTAGAGCTAGACGGTGGACAAATTGCTATATAATCCTATATAAATGGGAGGATGCCTGTGCCTAGCAGCGAAAACTTTATGGTGGGTAAGTACTGCTGGGCACAGTCCTTCTCTCATTTCTTAGAGGTTGTTGGACCTGGTAAAAGCGGTGCTGCTCCAATGATGTTGGCGGATTTATACACAATAGAAGGCCGCTGGGGTTCACAATGAACTTACAATCTTTAAGATAGTATTTAATTTTTAATTTTTATTAAACATTAATGTTATATACTTATTAGGCAATGACAGTCTCGTACCGATGAGCGAAGTTGCCGCCCACTAGAGCGAAATGATCTAGTACGAAATAGTAGGAGTGACGACTTGCTAAGAGATGCAGGAAATAATTGCATTTTTTTAAATATTTACTCTGTTATATTTAAAAATTATTGGCATAATATATTAAATATTTATTTTTCAGGCGTTGTTATATTTAGATCTTCATACTATTGTCAAGACACATTACGCACAGTAGGATATTTTTCATACATAAATTGCACTAAGAGACATACAGAGGCGGAAATAAATCTCTTTATTTCATGGGATTTTATTTCATAGTCATCCAAATACTTGTACCACGTGGAATTCGAACCATCAGACCTGCAGCGCAAACGATTAGTCACTGCGCTTGAAATAGCAAAAAGAAATAAACAAATCAACAAATGAATATAACACACTACTACTTTACTAATTTCCTGTATTGTAACTAAAATATTTTCTTGGTATTAATACTTAGGTATCCTAAAATTGTACTATGTATAGTAATTATAATCTAGCTCTTACGAATAGTAAGTATTTTTACATTATTACTACCTAAAATAATTTCATTAACTATGCTACTAATGTGTTTTTTTTTATACTTTTACTATTGTCTCTATAATAGGCAAGACTCGATTATCACAATACTACAAGTATAACACCAACATTACATTACTAAACACAACTTCTTATTAGGAACTGGATAGCCCCAACATTCAAACGATGACGTCTGCTTTCCTGAGCTTTTGCACATTTCCTTACAACATTTGTTAAGGAGTCCATCTGAAGGTCGCTGTGAAGGTCGTAATTTTTTTACTGGAATGCTTTTAGGATATAATAGTCACACAAATATTTAAACATTTAAAATAAAAAGAGCAATCTATCTATAATCTATAATATAATCTAATGCAAGGCAACTCCCACTAATATTCAAATAGGAAGTATGCAAAACTTACCGAGCAAGTCCGTTATGTTCATTATCATTGCCAAGAAATGCCACGAAGCACGGTCCCGAGTCGCCTGCATCCATCGACTTCCTGCATGTCTTACCAGGTCGTCACTCCATCTAGTGGGGGGTCGCCCTACACTTCGCCTACCAGTACGAGGCTGCCACTCGAGAACCTTTCTACCACATCGGTTGTCGGTTCTTCGAGCTGTATGGCCGGCCCATTGCTACTCCGTTGGGCTATGTTGGTCTTTACTCACGTCTGGAAATTGTTTAAAACCGCTAATTTTGTCTGGTGATTTGCAGGTATTGTTAAAATTACTCAATAAATACGTGATTAAAATTTGAGTTTGTCAAAAGTATATTTTTTGGGAATTATAATAAAATATTTTTGGAGAGGTCTGGTAATATTTCATTATCGACACAAACGTCTGGGATTTATTTTTTGAATTATATATAAACTAAGTTAAAATATAAAAAAGAAATCTAGTTGCCAAAAACACATTTTTTGGATATTTCTTTTACAAATTTATGTTATATGCTGCGCAGTAACAAAATAAAAACCGCAAACGCATTGCCAGACTCGCGGGACTGGTTGGCAATTGACGAAATTATTTTTTTACACAACTTCAACTTGCCAAAAGACCTTTGCGAAATTCGTCACCAAGTCTTGGACTAATACATTATCATTGTTACTAAAAATAATTTTTATTATATTACTAACATGAAACGCAACCGAACTACACATCACACTTTTTCGTTTAATACTTTACATTACTCATAGACGTTTTGTTCCATTTATGACATGTGACATTTAGTTCCCTATGTACTCAATAGCGCTGCTTCAAATCTGCACAAACGTTTTGTAGGGTATGGCCAAACAGATACAGATACAGATGGTATGATCTGTCATCATACAAACAGCGTCGTCTGTTTGCAAACGCTCCCCGGCTTACACAATGCCGAAAGCATATTTGCGTGTCGTAGTCCGATTGTACAAATAAGCAATCAAAAGCCATGGGCATTTATGTAATTCTAGCTGTGCCCGCAACTACGTTCACATAGTATAATTTTCAGTAATTTCTCATTATGACTTCCCTATTTGAATCGAATTTTGTTCGGAGTTTGCACGGAACGCTAATTTTTTTTCTAAAATAGTATTAGCCTTAGTTACTCCTTATAACATCAGCTATCTGCTAATGAAATTTCTGGTGAAATCGGTTCAGCCTTTTCGGAGATTAGCTGTAATAAACAGACAGACTGTTTGTTACAGCTATGACAAACATTTTTTTTATTATAAGTACCGTATTAGTAAGTACTTTCACATGCATTAACTAAAAAGCTGTTATTCTGAAATTACAAACAGACTCAATTTTATTTATTTGTGTATATATATGAATTAGGTACAAAGTGATATGATGGATTCACAACACGTTTACTGCCCGGCCAACGTTCAGATCACTTTAGTACAATCTTCCACAACAAACGTCTCGATCTGTTACACACCTCATACATAGTTTCCACACGAATATTTCGTGCCATGTTATCTATAACTGAATTAGGCCGTGATATCTTTGACAAATTTTTTTCAGGGGGTCTGTGTGGCGCTGCTGGTCTGTTTTACCAACCCTGACATACTGAACGCAATATGTCGCCTGTTTAGGACCAGTGAAGCTATCCCTATGGCAGAAATGACAGGTATGACAAATGTATAATTATACTGCATGTTCAATCCTTGTGAGTACCACATGATCAATTTCCTGTATCGACAGCCTTTTTAGGCCCACTGTTGTATTTAGGTATCGTATCATCATCTAAAAAGAATGCGACAGCTAGCAAACATTAGTTATAAGATTTGCCTTAACGCTGGGCAACTGATTTGGTGAGCACTCTACACAGGCGCACTGGAAATTCTTGTCACGATTACAAGTCTGCGAATTTTGAGTGCAGAATTTTGGGTGAATTTGCAGTAATTAGGCATATAGACATTTAAATAGTTTATTCCTTATTTTACAACGTCCCGTACCATTAATTTCTTGACTTTAAAAAGGTCGATATGTGTCTAAATCTAAGTGACCCTAAATTAAATCTACAGTTGGAACATTGTTTCCATCCACTACAGCCAATTAAACACCACTGCCGAATATAGGTCTCCCCATAGATTGCTTCATAGAGGAGATTAGGCATAATTGTCACGCATGACAGGCATGTTAGCAGCCGCAGTTTTATATTAATAGTTTTCAATTGTTATCAGAAAGATGCTGCTGCCCATCTCCCATTTCATTTTCTCTCTGTCGCATCTTACCACACCCACGGGAAGATGTGGATTGGAAATTCTTACACTTGATTTACGTAGCGTTTTAATTAAACAAAATTAATTATAACTACGATCAACTATATTTTCAAAGCGACGCTTTTAAAAGAATTAGTTGGAAGGGGGGAGGGGGTGGTAAAAATAAAACATAGGAACACTTCAGTGTAGTGGTATAGCAAGGAGGAGACCATATTTCAGGAGGTGGTATTTTGGAAAAAAGCGAGAAAACTTAATTTTTGAATTTAGCATCCAATTTCTGATAGTAGATATAACCTGCACAAACACACTTGCGAAGGGCAGTAAAAATGCATATAAATTATATTTTAGATACATGCTAAATGACGGGAGAGAGGGATTTTAAGTTTAAAATTGGTTGGCATATGAACGTGAGTTATTTGTCTACTTATCTTTTTCAGGTGTCAGAGGTCGCAGAATCTTCGGCGGAACAAGGGAAAACGTCGTCTAAATTTGAAACCTACTACATGTTTAAATTAGATTTGAGATTTTTCTTCAATTCTATACAAGAATCTTTTCCACGACCATATATCTCAAATGAAACTAAGTTTTACGGATTTTATGGCGTTTAATTTAACTTTTTAATTCCCGAAGTTTCGGGTGCTTTATAGCACCCATGGTCACGGGGGGGACTGAGGAGTTTGACGTCCCGATGTCATCATAGTTAGCCCGAAAACCTAGTAACACTATTGGTCACACTGTGTGACGCATACCAACCGATATTTAAATGGTGAATCGCACCATCATTCATCATAGCTACCGTGGGAAAAGCTTCAGCACGTCGAGCAAGTATTGCAAGACAACAAGCTTCAGGTCCCGCGCTTACGTCTCAGTAACCGAGTGAAGCCGACCACAGTCGATCTTATGCCTGCTATACTACCCTATGTCAGAGGAGTCACAGACAAGGTTGACTACATCTTGAAGCGAGCTTCCATTAAAAGATACTTCAAGACGCCGAAGAAGATTAGTCAATTTTACCATACGTCAAGTGTCATATTCCTCTACAAGAGGCAGGATTGTACAAGCTGGATTGTGAACGTGGTCTCTCTTACATAGGACTAACAAAAAGATCTATAAATACTCACGTCTAAGAACATATAGCTGACTTAAAGCACCGACGTTCCGGAAAGTCTGCAGTATGTGAACATGTTCAAGATGACCCCCGCCATTACATTAAATTTGATAGACCACAAATCCTCGCAAAAGAACACCAATTCCTACCAAGGATAATTCGCGAGGCTTTTGAAATAAAAAAAACATCCTAATTTCAATAGAGAAGATGGATGGGTGCTGCCATCTGCTTGGGATCCTATGATTAATAAAATTAAATCCAAACCCAAGCATACCACTGCAAGACCTCAAGATAATGTAAGCTCATTCTGCGTGAATCGGTCTAAAATTAATATTAAAAAAAGTGAAGGTAGCCGGCCTAACTATGACATCGGGACGTCAAACACCTCAGTTCAGAAACGTCGGGAATTAAAAAGTTAAATAAGAACGGTCATCTGTGACCCACACCTGACAGGAACAAGACATATCTTAGTTTTTTTTTTGTTATTTCTTATACAGTTAAATTATATATTTTTTTATATTCGAAATCAATGGCTAATGCAGCTGGATAATGTAATTTTTAAATTTCTAGTACAACAATCAACTTGGATTCATCAAATTATCACGTGAGTTTAGCACGGTCGTACTGCAGTGAGCATTTGAAAACCACGGGTATGGAGATATATAGACATCTAGCAGCAGTAGAGGGCAGAAACAATAATACTTTAATCAGGCGTAGAATTCATTCACGACACGTTAGGACAAAAATGTATTATACTTATATTATGTTTGATGAGAATATAAATGGTATAAATGCAATAACTGAATATTACTGCTCGTGCTACCATAGTAAAAGGACATTAGGAAGTTGCTCACACCTCATTAGTGTTATCTATTTCTTAGTGTGGGCTAGACATCGAGATCAATTTGACCACCCTGTACTGACATAGACATAGAAATTCAATAAAACTTTATTTCGACATATTGGTTTTATTTTATTTTTTGTTATAGAACGCAAATGATAGGTACCTCTAATATCTCATGTGCAATGAATCATCGAATACAACGATTTTAATGAATTCTAAGTTGATCGTTGTATTGGGAGTTCAAAAATTATATAATCCAGCTGTATCTCCAGGTCACCTAAGTACATCCCATAGCTATTGTATTCTCATTTAGTTACATACATTTACGAATTTTGTAAATAAATAGGCATTTTGTATGTTTTTAGAGTAACGCCTGAACAAAACATAAGGCAATATTTTTGTGTTAGTCAAAAAATATATAATTTACCTATTTAAAAAATTAAAAAAAAACTGAGATATATGTCGTTTCTGTCGGGTCTGGGTTTTTTTTTGTATGGGGCGTGACCGTTTTCTACGAATTTTATCGCGTAAAATAAATACGCGATAAAATTCGTAAAAATTAGTTTTATTTAATGTGCAATGTGTATTAGTGTCAAGTAATTGTATCTTCAATTATAAGAAATCATCATATATAATCTTCTAATATTGATGTAATTAGGGTTATTTAAGACTTGATAAGATCAAGAATATATAATAATTCAATGTTCATGTGTAATATTCAATGTTCATTGTATCTCAAATTATATGTGTATGTTTTAAATATGTGGTTTTCTTGTCCTACTACATCATTTAATTATGTTGACCTTAAAACTTCCAATGAAATATCATGTTTTAAAGCTAATCAAAATAAAAAGCAAAAAGGAAATCTATAAAGAGATATTACATTATTATTTTCATTAAAGTTAATGCTAAAATCACTCCTGAGGTAAAATAGTCTAACAATAAGGAGTATCATAATCATAATCCCGAAAAATTAACAATTGTCAAATTGAATAATTCAAAATATTATCATACAAAATTTTTGTTTACGATTATGGAAAATGATGGCGTAAAGAGAATAACATAAAATAATAATATATTCTTTTCCTTTCCCCCTAACCCGGTTTCCATCTGGTTTGGTTTTTATTTATTTATGTATTATTTATTTATTTATGTTAGTATATTAAATGTATATAGGTATTTATTTTTATTTATAATTTCTTTTAATATATTTGCTCAGCCCAACCAAATGAGAATACTATATAAATACCCAATAATAATATAATAATACTACTAAAAAGGAGCTAAGTACGGATAGGTGTGCGGTCCTCCATGTTGAAAGGGAAAGAGTTGCTAACTCTGAGGGCATACACTTATCTATGCCCATCAACGTAAGAAGCCTCTCCGAATCTGAAACATACCGATATCTGGGTATGTCACAAAAAATCGGTATCGATGAAGCGGGTATGAAGCAGTCAGTTTGCGATGTGTTTTATTCACGCTTGACAAAAGTGCTTAACAGCCTTTTGTCTGGTGTGAATAATACACACACGTATAACAATTGGGCATGCCTGTTCTCATATATACCTTTGACATACTTAGGTGAACTCAAACTGAACTTAAAGCCCTGGATAGAAAAGTCCACACTACTATGACGTCTCATAGGATGCATCATCCGAGATCGTCGATTATGAGGCTGTACTTGCCACGGAAACATGGTGGGCGTGGCCTTTCAAGCGCACTTACCATGAATAATCGCGATGTGTGCAGCCTCCGTAATTACTTTCTGACGAGAGATTCTATAGGCACGTTATTTCTTGTGTAAAAGACTTACCCCGCTATCCTTAGCCAACGAGCAATGGCATGACCCGGAAGTACAGAAAATTTCCGACCGAGAGACCGTATGGAAAGAGAAGGAGCTCCACGGTAGGTACTACATGGCTCTACATGAGTCTACCCTAGGCAAAAATGCCTCCCTCCACTGGCTACGTTTCGATGACCTCTTTAGGGAAACCGAGGGTTTTGTCTGTGCGATATAGGATCAGGTTATAAAGACCAACAACTATCAGCGCCGTCGATATCTGTCGAGCTTGACGCCATCCCGATGAGACACTTAGGCATGTGATGACATGCCTAAGTGTCTCATCGGGATGAAGTAAGAAAGCGCCGAACAACCGGAGCCGATGGGCTCCGGTTGTTCGGCACTTTCTTACTCTAAGTACTTGTACAGACACAATCTAGTGGCCAGGACTCTACACCAGGAGGTCGCTCTGAAATACGGTCTCGTGGATCGGAAACTGCCATATTATAAGTACTTGCCGGAAGCCGTGCTCGAAAATAACAGCGCCAGGCTCTTCTGGGCCCGGGACATTATCATGGACAGGACTATTCTTGCGAATAAGCCTGATATTGTGCTGATGGACCAGGCACAGTCAAAGATATTTTTGGTAGACATTACCATTCCTTATGACGAGAACCTCGTGAAAGCCGAAGCAGATAAGCGAACAAAATTTCTGGCTTACGAGGTGACCGACATGTGGGGTGGACTGCCCACCGAAATTATACCTGTAGTCGTTTCTGAGAACGGGTTAATCCCAGTCAGCCTCTGGGGTCATTTGAGGCGATTGCGACTCCATGATAGACCGCTCCAAGCTCAAATGCCGAAGGCGGTGCTTCTCGATACCACCCGCATCGTCTGCCGGTTTTTTTGCTTTCCCTCCAACCCTCGGCCGTTTGGTCTCCCCTGCTGAGAGCTTCCATCGGGTTGGGGTATTTATTTTATTTTATTGATATTTATGTTTGTTTATTATTTTCATTTACAACTATGTATTTATACAGCCCAACCAGATGAGAAAAGTTTATAGATACCCATTAATAATAATAATAACCCCACTGTTGTATTTCTCCGTTAACGACGTGGTGGGGCTTGCGTAATCCAACGAACTCTAGGTTTATTCCGGTAGAGTTTACTCATGCCGAGATGAATCTAGAGCGAGGAGCCAGACTAAAAAAGATACAATCCAAGCCACCGTCGTATATGCCAAGGGCTGCATGGCTACGGGATATTGCTAATCGATAGTGTGTCATTTCTGGATAACCTCCAGTTTTATTCACACTTGCCGCAGTGAACCCAGGGCTCTGCTGCGGTCGACTCTGTAAGTCCCTAGCTACTCGTGGGAATAATATGATTAGTAGATCTAAAATAAAAATAAACATGCTAAGACTAACCTGCCTCAGATAGATGACGAAACTTCACATTGCAAGTCATCATCTTCCTCGTCTCTTTTTACATCAATAGCATCATAATCACCATAATTTTGCATCAACCCGACGACATCATGACTATCAATCAATATACAGTCAGCGGATGTTGTATAAGAGACAAATTTTGTCGACGAAACTGTACCCACCACTAGCACTGCTCGTAGGAAATGGAGTTTTGAAATGAATAAATTCATCCTAGGCACTTATCTTCATCTTCCTAATATGGACACAAAGAAAAATGCGTACCTTTCCCCTCTTCAAACTTCAAAGTTTTTAGAAAAATTCCCAACTA